GTTAAACTAAGTCTTGGAATGTGACCACTATCCATTGCCTCATATAAGTGATATTTTGAATGCTTTGTCAGGAGCAACCTGTATTAGTACATTAGACGTATCAAATACGTGTTAAGATGAAGGATCGACATAAACCTGCCTTCATAACCAATAATGGACTATAGTATTTAAAGTGATGCCTTTTGGTTTCAAAAGTGCACCTGTCACCTTCTAATGGATAAGGCTTTATCAGGAGCAACTGAATGTTCCTAAGCATATATTGATGATATTATAGTGTTTCCACCCACATTTAAACAACACTTGAAAAACCTTGAATTGAAATTCTACAAGCTAAACGCGGCTAATCTTACCGTCAAAGTTTCTAAAAGCAATTTTTTCTAACAAGAAGTACCATATTTAGAATTTAAAATTGCTTGTGAAGGAATACACACAAATGATGATAAAGTGAAAGCCGTTAAAGACTTTCCAACTCCAAGAAACTGCAAAGAGTTAAGCACATTTTTGGGTATGTGTGCCTGGTACAATCAGTTCATTCAGAATTTTGCTACAATTGCTGAACCTTTATATCAGTTATGAAGGAAGTGTATCAGGTAGTGTGAGGAAGCATTCCGGAAATCAAAGCAGGCTTTATGTGAATCCTCTGTCTTACAACTTCTAAGAAAAGGTGAACACTATTTTTAAATGCTGATGCTTGAAATGTTGGTTTAGAAGTTCTTTGTCAAAAGGGTGTCATAGTATATGCCAGTAAAACACTGAATTCTGCAGAAATAAACTATACTTCTACAGAGTTAGAATGTCTATCTGTAGTCTGGACTGTAGAAAAAGATGGGAAGAATTTGCAGTTATAACTGACCACACTGTCTTGAAATGGTTACAGAAAGTTCCGAAGTTAACTGGTTGACTGATGCATTGCAGGACTTAACATTTGAAATACTTCACAGTAAAGAAAAGAGAACCAGTTACCTAATGTCCTACCTTGATATCCTACTGATCCCCCACAAGAAATTCCAGAATTGGATCTCAGTAAGCTATTGCCTAAACTTTTTGTCATTGTCAGTGTTAACACCAGAGAACAACTGTCTACTGAACAAGCTAAAAATGATAAACATAAGCATATTTACTCTGATTTGAAAACTGGACTGTTACCAAACGATTCTACTAGAAATTGTAAGAAAATCTAAGCACTTTGTTTTGAATGACAATGTTCTTTATTACACAAAAAGGGTTACTAGCAACGTTGAATTCAGACCAGTTATTCCCAAAGCATTGAGACTTGTGATGTTAATCGAATTGGATGATCATCCTATGGTTGGTCTGTGGCCATCTAGGTGTCCAAAAGACAATAAACAAAGTATTTTGAGATGGTTATTGATTTTGTATGAGAAAAGAGATTAACAATTATGTGTTATCATGCCCTGTTTGTCAAACCACTAAATTTGATCATAAGTGGCTAGCTAGATTTATGCAAAACACTAAACTAATGGAACCTGGTTTTACAATAGGAATAGATATTGTGGGACCTTATCCTAAATCTAGTACACGGAATAGTTATTTGTTGATTGTAACAGATCATTTCAGTAAATGGGTTGAATTAAACCCTATCAAACAAATAACTGCAAAAGTGATTGTGAAAACTAACTAATGAATACCATTATCAATATGTATCTGATAATGGGCCAAAATTTATGTCTCATTTGATGGACAAAATAAACATATCTTTACAACTTCATATCATCCTCAGTCTATATTTAGTAATTAATCAATATTATTTGTATTGAACCTTCGAACATTATCAAATACTATGATATTGCAATGAATTTCTACATACCAGTTAAACCTAAAGAACAATAGTACACATTTATCACTATCTCGGTGCCAGGTCATTTACATTAATTTGGTTATGAATCGTCACCGAGTAGCTTAGCGGAATTAGCTTTGAGAGTCATAAGGCTAAAAATCAGGAGTTCGATTCCACATGGTGGACAAAGTGCAGATAGTCCATTATGTAACTGTGCAAAAAAAAACCAAACATGCTTATGAATATAACTAAGATCTTCCGGTATCGGAATTAGAATTTTGCTGATGTTGTATAACAGTTTTCCAAAAACACATTATCTTAGATTGCTATTCAAATATTTTGCGATATAAATTATTTAAACAAAACAAAAGAAATACAGTTTGAAAAAAAAGAACCTTTCAATTACTTATCTCATGCTTGCACATACTTTGTATGTTATCTCATCGGTAAGAAAATGAGCTATTATCTGAGAAAGTAGTCTCTTATACTGAGGCCTTTCCTCGTCCGCCAGTGAGAGGCGGTATGAATAGAGGAAATAAAATGAGAGTTATTAACTAGATGTACTTCTGTAGAGTCCCCGAAAGTGTTCTGTTTCAATAGTAAATAAAATCAAAATTAAGAGTAAGAAATATTTTTGTTTCTTGCTTTCCAAGTTTGTATGTCATACAAAATACATAACCCTTCTCGTGATTCATAGCATGCACACGTTTTACTAATGTCACGGCAGTACAAATTGCAACGTCAAGTATCCCTTATGTGAATTCATTTTAGTGTCTACTGACTGACTGACAGACAACAACACACTAATGTATAGTGGTGCGAGTGGTTAAAACAGGTGATCCCTCCAGGCGGTCTTCGGCCCACCTTTCGGAGAATTAAACCATGTTGAAAACAAAAATATATCATAAATCATTATTTTCATAATTCACTGTAGGTTTTAAAAAAAGCTTGTAAAGTGTTGTTTCACTTTGATTTTCATACATTTCCCACTTTCTAAAATGATGTTAAGTTTAAAGTAATAGTACAAATATTGTACAATTCGAGAGCAATCTGTATAGCGATGAAATGGCTGAGATTGTAGAATTGAAATTTATCAAACTTGTATTTTATATTAGAACATAAAAATGACTGTGCACGGGGAATATACATCTGTGTTGTATTAAATGTATTATCCTAAACATTTTTCAATGGATAAGCCAAGAACACTCTCCATTAATTTAGCAAGTTCTGGGTTAAAGAGAGCTGTTGTCACTAATGAGGGTTCAAACTGTTTTAGATTATCGAGAACTATCGTAGTTACTCATCACAGCTTAAAAAATAATAACGTTTAGCGATTATCCTCGCATGAAAAAAGAATAATAATATGTGCCACGCAATATTTTTAAATTAAGCTAAATATGTAGTTTTTGTATGAAACTTACTGAATTGGTTAGATTTCAGGAAACATTTTTATATACTTGTATTTATGGCAAAGGTACTAAGGCTGTCTGCTGCCATCCCTAATTTTGAAGTACTGAACAGAAGGAAGGCAGCCATTCAAAAGCAACCTACCACCCACCATCCACGTTAGGGTTGACTTCCACTTTTATGACGCACCCAAAGCTGAAAGTATCGGGAATATTTTGTGGTATTGCATGGATTCAAACCAGAGTCAAGAGCTCTACCACTGGACCAAAATCATTTTGTTTTAAAATGTTTCTATATTTTCATGATTAAAAGAGAACTATTAAACGAGTATTATTTATTAATTTCATAATATGGTTTTTATTCGCTTTCCTGTGATTTTGAAGTATATGTGAAGTAAAATATAATTAGCAATTTACTGAGTTTTTCTTTTTACTTTTTTATCTCGCTTTAACCATGTAATTGGTTTCTAATGCTTCAATAGTTTTCTATTTGTATTAAATCTATTGGAAGATATATTATATAATCATGTTAAAAAGGTATTAGAAAGTGTTGCAGTTTGTAGATTTAAAAAAACTTACAAACTTCATAATATAGATGAAACATGTTATATTTTTATATATATTTATCAAATTTCTTGAAACCGAAATTTCTAAGTAAATTATACATATTGTGATTCTTAGGTTAAAAATTATTAGTCTGATACTAAAGCTTGGTAGTATATAATTTTTTACACAAACTTTGTTTGTTTCGTTTTAAAAGTAATTTATCATTTTAACCATTTTAATATATTGTACTGTTGAATCTGTTTAGTTTCTTCATGAATTGGTCATAGTGTAGGAAATGAGCTTTTCATGAAGCAGCAAATACAGCGAAAGTTTTACTATTACTTGAAACTGTACAATGTACAGATTACTAAACGGGTTTACTTATGAACAGTCTACGGCTTGGACAAGTTTTATTATTTTACTTAAATTTTTCACTAGAAAACAGTAATGATTTTAAGCATCATTTATGACCTAAAGCAAGCTAGCCCTTTGCAACTAATAAAGTTTGGCACCAATGAATGCAGTTGAACATTTAATCACAAACCTCTTGTTAAATATTAACTTTTAAGCTACCAGAATATAACATGAAGCTTAGGCCATATTTATAAATTGTTTTCCATTAATTTAAAACGATTGTTACTGAGCACAATCTTTATGTAAGAAATACTACTTCACTTATTTTAAAGTCAAAGATATGATATTAGTGAAGTTACCACATTTTCTGTCTTCTACCTGCTTTTTTTTGAATGAGGATATCACCTTGAAAACAATCAATAAAAACTTGAACAACTCGTTCTACAAAGAAAATGCTAAAACAACGAGAAGACTTGTTTCCAGAGAAACAGTAATCAAGTCGTCTTGTGTAAAGCGCAATGTAATTCTAAAACAATTATTTTTTTTGTGTTTGATCAACCACAAGCTTAAATTCTAATCTTCTTAAAGATATTTCGGGAAAATCAAATTCGAAGATTTAATCCAAAGCCAATTTGTCAAAGTTGTAGATCAGGTAATAGTGCTCCTACAACGTTAAAGGAGACCATACTTTTATCACACCATAATTCACTTAGGGAGAATGAATTGAATTTAAACTAAGGTTTTGTTCATAAGTTCGCGCATTTTATATTTATCTATTACTATAACAGAAGTAACTTTACAAATAATTCCATAATGTACAACGGAAACATGAAATTTCCAGAAAACTGTTAGCTGTTCTTTAAATGCTGAACAAGAAGACAACTACAATATCCTGGTGAACTAATAAACAAACTTAAGCACTTTTTTTTATTACAGACAGATTACATTTACAAACAACATATATAACATATTAGTATTACGAACGCGCCACTTTTTGGACAAGATTTGCAACACTCCAATGAAAAGTATCACTTGATCAGAATCATACAGTTTGAGAATGTTAAAAGTACTGTAAGATTACGATAATCCGTCTTGTTACTAATCTCTTTCATAGGTTATACAAATAGTTTAAAAATCTGTATGCCAAACATTCTTATACATTGTGAAAAACTTTTCTTGTCAGCACTTTTGATATTGCTAATTACTTTACATTCGACGAACCTCCTATTCTTTAACTACCCATAAACTATGAAATACATATATTGTATTACCAATACGTCTGGCACACATAAAATAATGGGGATCCTTCTTCTGTGGACAACGGAGAGACATCTTGCACGCTAACTCATGCAACACTCCACATTACAAATCCGAGTTTATCTTAATTAATGTGTGTGTGCTGGTGATTTTCATTTGGTTTCATGCTAATTACATGGTATAATATAAGTCTATACAATTCCATAGCCACACTGCTTGTTACAGCTGGACGGGTGTATCAAAGTGATAAACATTCAGATGCTGCCTAACAAACCTACGTAGAATGTTCATTACCTCTCCGTTGAAAAAGCAGAAAAGAATTGCTACTGAAAGGCCCTGGAACAAAAGAAAACATCGTGAACTGGAAATTATCTAGAATTAGATAGTTTTGTTTAATATAGATTTATAACCAAGCATTCTTTTAAAGACAATTTGTTTACAGCTGGTTTACGAACGTCCTACAGTAACATAAAGTCAGCTCATCACTGCCAGGTCTCGGTAATGAAACATGTTTTCAAACTATATTAGTTTTCTCAAAAGATTTAGATGACTGAAAGTTGACTCCGGGGAATGAAATATCTGTGGTCTTAATATATCCGATAACTGATATACTCTTTAAATATAAATAGTTTGCTATTCAGGTAAACCTGAACACAAGTTAACTATGTTCAAAATAATTTGGAAATTATTACAACCAGAGAAAATTAGATATTGTTTACTCGAGCGTATCAACCTTTTACTAATTCATATTAGTGTAAATACGGATATTTGTTTTCTGTCACAGTGTCAAGTTTATTGTCCAAAACAAAATTTCGTCAAAAGTGAAAGAGTGACAAACGAAATATCCACAGATATTCTGTAAAAGTTTGAATAACACGATATATAAAAACTTTATGGGAATAATTTAGAATATATTATTTTAAATAAATGCGTTATGTAATACCTCACCTGGAACGACGTTACAATCGCAGAAATGGGCTCGTATACAGCTTCACCTGGTGATCTCGGTTCTGGTCGAAATGGTGTTACGAAATAATGTAAGCCTAACAGAGGAATTAGAATTAACGTCGCTCGAACTGCTTTTCTGGAAAATAAAATAAAACAACTATTTATTACCCAGTTATGTACACAGTAATAAAAGGATGATTTAACGGTATTATTACAATTTTTCATTATTATTGTTTTTCTCTAATTTCTTATTTTTAAAAATTCAGTTAAATATAAACCGTGTAACAGATGTCAACTATTAGGATAACTTGAATCTATCACTTAGATATATTTATATATGACGTACCACAGACTAAGTCTATAGAAAGTTAGCATTCAGTTGTATGAACAGTTATCATTTACCACCAAAATACGGAGATGAGCGCGACCCAGTGTTTATATGCCGAACTGTGGATTTGAGGTTGCGTGGTTAGCGCAAAAAACAAACACTCATTCTGCACTTTGGGGTCGTGGAGGCGTTAAAATAGTTACGGTCAAATCCTGCTATTATTTTAGAATATATCAAGGGTTGACAGAAGGTAGTGTTGATTAGCTCCCATTCCTCAAGTCTATCACTGCAACATTAGATTCGGCTAGCGCAGATAACCCTCGAGTAGCTTTGTGTGAAATTCGACGAAAAACAAAATAAAAACCATGTTATTATTCTTGTTTTTGTATAGTGCTGCTATCTAATAAGCAAAACGTGAAATATACTAATAAATAATTTTCACTTCACTCATTACATGGGATCAGCATTCAATCAGCCAATAGTAAAAACTGAAAACATTCAAGGTCGTCTATTTGTACAAGACTATACCCTACAAAAGTGGTAGATTACAGAATTTATTTATGTTGGTGTGATTTTTGGCTATAAAAGCAGGTACAACCAATATTACAGTTCACGTGGTTCGGTTAATAAGCACAGTGATGTAAGAGACTGTGAAAAATAAAACAAGATACTCATTAAGAAGAATAAAAGTAGATTTGGAAACATTTCCTACCATTAAGGAACCCAGGAGAAAAATCAGACTTTCAGGTTTGTAGACTACAGACAAATGTAAGTCCTCAGGTTTGTAAACTACAGACAAATGTAAGTCCTCAGGTTTGTAGACTACAGACAAATGTAAGTCCTCAGGTTAGTTAACTACAAACAAATGTAAGTCCTCAGGTTTGTAGACTACAGACAAATGTAAGTCCTCAATGCTACAAACTTTAGAACTTCAAATTGATATTAACTGTTAATCTCCCTAATGAAGGTAAAATTCGAAAGACTTGACCATGATGTAAAGTATCAGTAGCAAATTTAATAAACCTTTAGTGTGAAGGGTGAAGTAATATATGTGAACTTCATAATTACTACAACAACAACACTGGTTGTTTACAAGACCGTTCCAGACGGGCGAATAAATGACTGATAACATTTTGGGGATCATGAAAGAAATGGTTTAACATTGTTCCTAGTGTCATAATAGACAATACCTCCAACATAAAGAGAGTCTGTCAGTTACTTTCAGTGAAATACCTTTACCAGCTCACATCGTTCTACAGTTATGTCACTCACATATTGAAATTTCTTATAAGCGACATATTCCACAGTAGAGACACAAAACAAAAATATTGTATATATATATATAAAGGTTATAATGTTCCAAACACACCGTTCCATGGCATGCATATAGCACAAAATCTAAAGATTTTGGTCAGAAGAACTCAGATAAAAAGCACGTTGCACTTTGAAGTCGATTAGTTGAATGGTCAATTTCAAAGGGAACCTGAATCTTCTGAAGAATCAGGCTTTTGTTGAGATTGCTACATTAATAGATGAACAGGCTGAGGAGGGGCATGAAAAGACTGAGAACACTATTGCTGAAATGGTTGAGAATGGGAAGAATACCATTAAGTGGATACATAAGAACCATGTTATAAACTAATAATAATTAAAACTAAATTAATGTTTTCAAACAATTTATAAAATCATACCAAAACTGTTTGTTTAATAAAATTATGTTTAGAGTAGGTGAAAATTACAAATCATTAGTTTAGATGAACAAGTTTGCTATAAAAATTATGTGAAAAGTGATTTTTAAAACTTTATTCTGTATTTAGTTTACTATTTTACTGTTGTAAATATTAACACATAATTATTTTTGTTACTTTTGTAAAGCATTATATGCTCAATTGCTATTAAATTAAGTTAACAAGTGTTTAGTTACCAACCTTTAAATAATAAAAGTGTAATAATTTTAAACAAATAAATGATTATCAATAATTGTTTCTGTTTTAAATACACTTTGAAAATAATACACAGGAATGATTGGACGTAACAACAGGAATGCTTCAATGTATTACTTATATACTGTTGTGGGTAATATTACCATTTCCTACGTTGCTGGTAATTTTATGTCACTATCTGCATGTAAAACTAAAAATATGTTAAGGTAAGATATTTATTGACCTTGATGTTTTAGCAAGGAATGGTACGTTATATTTAAATGATTTCGAATATGCAAAACAGCAAGTCACATAACAACAGCCGATTTAAAGTCGCGGAGGAATGGTATGTATAAAAACTATATTCTAACAATGGTTAGCTGTTGATAGGCTAGTCTGATCCCACTGAAAATTTATCGCTTTTGGGAAGGATATGTAAAATCCATTTCCAATTCAACATATTCATACACTCAGATCATAAAAGTGTGTTCAGATCGGGAATTTAGAATTTGATGAACTTGAAGTACCAGGAAGAGATCTGCAACAAATCATACCTCAGCCATGACAACTTGTTTTGTGAAAGATGAGAATTCATGAATGCAAAGGTCGGTGGAAAAATCTGTCCACGTGTCCCAAATGCCGGTATGCAACACAATTAAGAAGAATCTTCGCCTGGAAACGTGACACAAGCTGCTTCCTCGACATACTCGATTAACCATTGCATGTCTCAAGTAGCTGGAGAAAAAATGGGTATTCATGCTATTTCATACGAAAAACGTATCAGTCACATTGCCTATGGATTTTGGTGCAATCAGACTATTGAAATGAGCACTGGGAAACAATTGCACTTACACACTAGATGTATTATGGAAGGCAAGCAGAGAGGAGTGATATGTTTTAGTCATGTTCGTTTTACGATAGAGCGTTTTGCAATAGAAACTGTGCAAAAGGGATATCGTCAGGATGCAGGGTCATCATGTAGAGAAAGACTGGACGTAACAACAAGATGAAGTTCCATAATAGTTTTATTATAACCTACTCGACCTCTTTATAACCTTTTTCACAAAGTGATTGTTAGAAAAACTGAAAATAGCTAACACGTGTATTGAACACAGCTATTAAAAGCTCAAATTATATGAATGTAGTGAGAAGGCACATAAATTTACAATTATTTTACATGCAGAATAGAATATTCAATACTCAGTAAATCATGATTTGTCAATTTGTTTATATTTTATGGATGTATTTTATCTTTGCTTCTTAATCTATTTACTGTAGTGTTTTAGGGGATTATATTATTTTACAAGGTTTTTGTGTAGTCAACATTATGATTTGTTTGCCTCCTGCACATGCAGTTTTGTACGGAAGCATTTTTGTCCTCGACGTTATATTATTCGTAATACTGGAACAAAAACCCAAATAGAATACGGTTACGGTTTGTTATGAATTTCGCGCAAAGCTACACGAGGGCTATCTGCGCTAGCCGTCCCTAATTTAGCAATGTAAGACTAGAGGGAAGGCAGCTAGTCATCACCACCCACCACCAACTCTTGGGCTACTCTTTTACCAACGAATAGTGGGATTGACCGTCACATTATAACGCCCCCATGGCTGAAAGGGCGAGCATGTTTGGTGTGACGGGGATTCGAACCCTCGACCCGCAGATTACGAGTCGAGTGCCCTAGCCACCTGGCCATGCCGGGCCCAGAATACGGTTACAGCAGTGATTGTAAGAAAACATAACGTAACAACCAGTCACGAAATCGTAATATTTTTCATGTCAGGAATGGATATGTTAGAGTAATATACTCAAGTTAACGGAAAACCATTAAAACATACGTATTTGCATCATTACATGTTAATTACTATATCAAAAATCAATACAAACTATACTATGAAGATCTTAGATAGAAACACCCAGGAAAAATAAGGTGTACGTAACATTCAGTTAAAATGAGAAAAAGCTTCAACCATGGTTTCTTACATAAAATGTCGAATATATCTATACTATGAAGATCTTAGATGGAAACACACAGGAAAAATAAGGTGTACGTAACATTCAGTTAAAATGAGAAATAGCTTCAACCATGGTTGCTTACATAAAATATCGAATATATCTATACTATGCTTAAGTTACCAAAGTCAATGCATATTTTGAGACTACGATATATTTAATTAAGTTTAGTATATCTCTGTTTAGTTCTTCCATATATGCTATGGTGTTTATATGCAGGTATGCTATTGACGAGTTTTATGTGTGCTTGTGCGTATGCATCTTTCCTAGTCTCGTATATATTGATCAAGATGTATTATTTATTGAGTCTGAAACGTGACTTTGAGATGTACACTAAAGTAGCTAATACGGTGTGTATATGTAAACATGCAACCTGCCTAGTCTCATTCATATTGACAAGGCTTATTATTTTTTGAGTCTGAGCTGATACGTGACTGTGATATGTTCACTATGTAACTAATAAGGAACAAATCTGTAGATATTCTACTTGCCTTATCTGATGAGAATCCGTAGAGTTGACTGCTCGGAGTTTAGTAACCAGGACTCGAACGATGTTAATCAAGAATACAAAGTTCAACTGGAAAAAATAGTTTTATTTCTTTCATTTAATATATATATATTTAATGGAAAATGTTTCATGGGGTTTTATTTGTAGATAATTTGGGTGAATTTTTTGTTTTAATTAACTAAAAATAATTTAAAGCTAGCATTTTAAAGAACAATTAATTAAGGTGATGTTTGCTGCAAAGATTTCTGGATGAAATCTAAAATCAAGTTTTCAGTTTATTTAAAACAGAATATTAGGTCTGCATAATTTTTTTAACCTTGGTGTATATTTGAACAAAACCTCAAGTTTAAAACATTTATAAAATGTAATTTATATGTTTGTTACATTTTGTTGTTAGACAATAATGTATATTTCGTATGTGTTTCCGATAAAGAATAATCATAAGTCAGGACATACACACTCTGAAGACTGATGTTTATAAAATTGTCAGAATTTTTAAAAAGAAAAACTAATCTATTTCAGCATTTATTTATTTTTCCAGTAAAATTGAAGTTTTTTAAAAAAGTAAACACAGTTACTGAAATGAAAGCTTTGACTTAAAATCGAAATTGAACATTATAATATTTTATTATTTATTAAAAAGGCAATAAATCCATGCACGTATAATCAAATGAAATACATCCTGAAATTTTTGTGCGCAATCTACTGTGTATTTTACATTTCGTATATATTCGCTACTAATTTTGTTTCGATGGGTGTGACAGTTAGTTTTTTTTTGTAATTATTACGCCTTGATATTTGTTTTAGTATATGTTAAAATAATACATCCATCCCATGCATAATTTTCATATGATCATCCATACATTAGTTTAGCCTATTTGTGAAAAGGACTGCTTCTTGTCGTTTTATATGTAAAATGTTCAAACTTTAGATATTTTCATCAGAATCATATATAAAGTAAAATAATTATAATATGTTAAAATTGAAAGAGTAGGCTGTAGGACTGTATCCAGTTAATCATGATTTATATAGTCCTGTTTCATTCCTAAAGCCTATTACGTCTGATTTTGCTTACAATTTAGTAAGTTGTTTATGAACATTTCGCTCCAACTAAATATAGTGAACTACTACGTACCATTGATATCATGTTTTATCAGAATGTCTTACTGTAGAACAAATCCAAACACATATGTAACTTTTGAAAACAATGCTTTTCTATTACATAAAACGGTACGTGTTGCTACCTATTTCACTTATTTTATGTAATACTTTTCTGTTACATAAAATAAGTGAAATAGGTAGCAACACGTACCGTTTTGTTTTCCAAAAGCTAGCATCTAGTTGGATATCATGACTTATATGATTTTATAAAACGCTTTGATTTTCTGTAGAACATTTTTGATTCACTTTGAAATACAAGTATAAAACACTAGACATTTACTAGATCGTTGAAACATCTGCTAATATAACTTTTTGTGGTAAGACGTAAAGAACTCATGTCATACACTTAAAATTGACAAAACTTTGCATGTTACAGTGGAACATTTTTTGATATAAAATAATTAAACCAATTTGTTTCACATACACGTTGATACTTATCATGTAAAGGTCAGTCGCACGTAGTTTGAAGTTTATAGTGTATTCAAGGAATAAAAGACAAGTTGCTTGAAGTATGTTAAAATAGTTTTATGTCTATACATAATTAAAGTTTGTTTAACGCATGTAACATCTTTGTTCATAGTTTACTTTAGACATGATAAATACGTTTTCAATAACTACAAAATGTTTGATATTAAGCTTCGTATAATTCAAACGAGTTTGAAGGCTAATAACGCTAAAAATCGGATTTCGATAGGTAGAGCATAGATAGCCCATTGAGTACTTTTGCGCTTAACAACAAACGAACTAAATCAAATTTATTTGTTTTATATAGGACAAAAAAATCTACCTTTTTATTTTATTTCCCAAATATAACAGTGTCAGTCTTTAAGTTTGTAATATAAAAGTTGCTGCTCATCCACATAGTAGATAAGATACTGAATTGTTTAGTTTACATTAAATACATGTTCACGTTTACATATCTATTTAAAAATATTTGTTAAATACTTGTTATTAATATTATAGAATTGTAATTTAGTTTATAATATAAAAGTTACTGCTCATCCACATAGTAGATAAGATACTGAATTGTTTAGTTTACATTAAATACATGTTCACTTTTACATATTTATTTAAAAGCATTTGTTAAATACTTGTTATTAATATTATAGAATTGTAATTTAGTTTATAATCGATAAGTATCAGAGGCGGTAAAAACACTTTGAATTTGGATGGGCACTTTTCGCATTTTTACTGATTTGTCCAAAAGAAATGCCTTATTAAATCGAGCCATTAAGAATGCTGGCAACTACAACCCATATTACCTTTTTTAGATTCTACATGCTATTTTATCGACTTTGATATATTTTCAATGTTATAGTTTCTATTTTTTGAAGAGAAGCACTTTATTATTTTGCAAAAAAGTAGAGGAGCACGTGTATAGAGTGCCCGCCGATCCGCCGCGTATGAAAAATATCAATTTTGTGCACAAATCTCGTATTGCATGTAAGGTACTGATATGAAAACTTATTTTATGTTAATTAGACCTTAAGAATTAATTTTAGCCTAACTAATACGAAATGATTTTGTGCATATGTCACTGAACTTTGAACTTAACACTCTGAAAAGCAAGTTTATTGACTCTTTCGCTTTTACGTTAAAAAAACAAAACAACGAAGAAAAAAATTAGGTTAAAACTTTAGTATACATCAAATTCTTCTAAAATAACAATAGAAATTAGGATGTTTCAGCTTAAAAGTCACAGAAGTAGTTATAAGCGTTGCGGATATTAGAGATGCTTTTTGTGGTAATGGAAAACTATAGGATTATATCACTTTCACCCTGATCATCCCTCATATTATAGAACGACCACAAACGTCGTAAACTGAAACTAGCATTCGAAATAATTAAGTTATTAGCTCAATAAAGTATCAAGTAATCAATAAGTTTCCCATATCTATTACCGTAACATGAAAGATAGGTTGATTATTATCGAATTTAATTTAAGTACAACCTTGTAAATTTTAATAGTTACCCTACCTACTTTCAATATTACATTACTTCTATATTTAAGTATACCTTATGAAATGATTATCTACGTTTGTAAAACGAATTGTGTTACACATCTAATTCAAGTCGCTTCTAGATTTTCTGCATTATTGCGTAAAAACTCGAGTTTCATCGTAGCTCAAACTGCTTCCAGTAAATATCATCCAAGTTAAACATCATAAATGCATGGAAGTTAAATCACAGTTTAAGTAACACTGGTATCATATTCAAACATTTGTTGAGGGAGGAAGATAATGTTTCTAGATCAATTGTTTAAAATTATAGTTCTGTTTATATTAAATTTGAAAGATGGGAAGAAATATATAAAACTATTTACATCAACAAGGTTATCAAAGACAAAAGTGGTGGATAGTTTTATAACTAACTAGATCTACTTTTCAACAATGTTTTGTACGTAGATCAACGATGATGATACTAATAAATGTTAAATTAACCATTTTTTTTTCTCATCCAGAGCTGAAACTAATACTTGTACTTTACAGCCACATAATCATCATATCAGTTACGTATGAGATTTATAATTGAATCTTACAGTACACCGAAATATATCTGTAGATACCATTCTAATAGTAGGTAAAAACTAAATAGCGTGTAAAGTAACCTAAAATAAAATTTAGATCCATATATATGAGATTCTAAACTTTATATTAGATTTTTGTAGGTTACACGTTGTTTTAAATACACCAGTGTGGACCATAATAAAACGAGCCCAGGTGAGACAGAGACAAATTATAGCTCTGGGATATTAAATTATTATTATCTGGAAACACAAATTTAACACAATAAAGAAGCCTAATGTTGATTTGCAGTATTTTCTCACACGTTATGATGTAGTTTCCTCGTCTGTGGTGCTTTCTATGGAGGTACAGTGAACCCCACTGGACTTTTTATACAAGTTTATCTCACCTTATCATTGGACAATACGTACTGGAAGTATCCTGTTGGACATCCAGTTATAATTGCTGTTAACGTTTCTGATTTAAGTTGTTATTTTGCAGGGGAAACTATATCACCAAGTTCTGCCTTTCGGGAATCATAGAAATTTAACTTTTCCTCTATGTAAAGTCTGTGTAAATAAATATCACTATTGCTATATCATCACTTACATGTAGAACTGGTTTTTATTGGACAGAAGAAATTAAGAAAACTCTTTATTGTAAATACCAGATAATGAGTATTTCCGAAGTTTATAATTTTTTCATGTAAATCATCTAATTTTTTCAGATACCTTTTAAAAACTTAAACAAAAAGTTCGAAATAGCTTGCACACTGCAAAACTTCAGAGTCTTAACAAGCATAAATTTAATTCGGTGCTGAATGAGAAGCTATTCACCTGATTCCACACTAACCCTGGAAGAAGATCTGTTTCTATACTATACCTAAATTCATTTTCGGGCCACTGAAGAGAAAGGTAAAATGGTGTGTGTAGCATTTGTAAAATAGTATTCTACCTTAATGTCTGACTTTTCTAAGATTGTTACACGTTTCGGCCACTGGGGTATGCCTGAAGAGAAAGGTAAACTGGTGTGTGTAAAATAGTATTCTACCTTAATGTCTGACTTTTCTAAGATTGTTACACGTTTCGGCCACTGGGATATGTCTGAAGAGAAAGGTAAAATGGTTTGTGTAGTATTTGTAAAATAGCAAAAGTCAGACATTAAGGTAGAATTTAAAATTGTTACACATGTTATCCTTATCATCTCCACTGGAAGCACATACATAAATATATTTCTCAGCGAGACTACCATCTTTTTTGGCCGCCTTCACCACAGCCTACACATGCCTGAAGTTTTCATTCGATTATTGTAAGAATCTTACAAAAAAAAAACAAATCACTCTTAAAAAACATTTCGTGAACATAAGGATGATAAACGGCTTGTAATATTATTTCAGGTATTTGACATTTACAGACTATGATGAGACGTCCACATAAATCGATATGGAAAAGACAGCATTAATCTGATTCTTATATCAAGCTTTATATATATGCAAGCACACATACACATATAAATTTGTTCACAACTAGTTAGGTTAAACGTAATTGCTAAGGTCTAGTGTAGGATTTCCCAAACTTTCTCAGCACAAGTCCTTCCAGAAGATTTTGCATCCTGACTGAGGACTCCACACAATGAATATATAGTTACTGAGTACCTTAACAATATTGTGTATTTTGTGTATTTGCTATGACTCCCTGACACTTTCCTGTGGTCCCCAGATTGGGAAGCCCTGGTCTAGTGAAAATAAAACCTTTTTTTGTCATAAAGCATTTTTCATACTGATAAATTCAGTACATTAAATGCAATATAAAGATATAAAATCTTTGCGCCAATATGATATCTAAATTCTATGATCTTACTTACATACTACAACAAAATATATTGTCGCCCACTTTTGACATAATATCTACGCTTAAGCACAAAGTGAACAAATATGTAATGTATAAATATAATGGTTTCATATAAATTAACAATGATAGCAGTGTTACTATAATACATAAACTTGAAATATAAAGCCTTTAATAAATCATTGGTTTTTAATTTGTGTTGTGTAACGTTGATTTGTAAACGCATGTGTAGCTGTCGGCTGTATGTGCAAAAGTTTTATATAGGTCAGTAAAGTCAAATTAAGGAAGACAATAACTGATCAATTAAACAATCCAGTATTTTACCAACTATGTGGGTGAACAAGTAACCTTTATATTATAGATTTGAAGACTAATACTGTTATATTTCAGAAAAAAAGGCAGATTTGTGTCCTATATAAAACAGTTAATCTTGTTTGGATTATATGAAACATTTGCCTAAAAATTTTGTAATTTTGTGCATATCAAAATGCAAACTTGTTTATAATTTTTTAATTAAATATAAAGGAACGTGTATCTGTACAAAACAAACTTTATATATGTATCTAGACAAATTTATGTAACCACTAATATAACAAACTTGAACCAGTGTTCCTGGAATATTCTATAAATTGTAAACTATGACTCATCTCACAAGACCATGAACGACCGATCTTTACCTCATTAATATCAGATCGTGTGTGAAACGAATCAGTAGTGTTTTTTGCAGGTAAATTTTAAGGAGTTTAATTATTTTATATAAAAAAGTTCCGCTATAAAAGTAAAAAGTTTTGTCAACTTTAGCATGTGTAGCATGAGTTCTTTGTGTTTCAACAGTCTAGAGAAGGTCTAGTGTTTTATACTTGTATTTCAAAGTGAATCAGAAGTGTTCTGTAGAAAATAATAAAACTTTGATATCACATTGGATGCTATCCTTGTGACAAAACATAAAGTGGCAAGTATTGGTATTTATTTTACTTAGATTATATAATAGAAAAATCGTTTTTTGAAAAGTTTTCATTTGTGATGGGATTTTGTTGTAGAGTAAGTCATTCGTTTAGAAATCTGTTTACAAAGCAAAAGCATAATATTAGTGTTATGTGCTTCATTATATTTAGTTGGAGCAAAGTGTTCATATAGTGTTTAATAACTTGACGGTTAGATCAGAGGTAATAGGACATAATAAGGAAAACAGGGTTATGTAGGTTATGATAAATTAAATACAGTTAGACTGCCTATTTTTCATCAGAATATTACTTTTAGTTCATATGGTTTATACGTAAAAATCTAGAGTTTGAATATTCAATCTATAAAATTGCACGAAAGGGCTCTTCTTAAGAAAACACAGATTATAATTTAGACAAGTACATAGATAATCATATGTATAAAACAAGAATTAAGCTATAAAAATGGTCAAATTTTGATAAACAAAATATGCCACATAACGTAGATGATTTCATCCATAACCCTAAGAGTACATGTTGAACTAATCATCTCTTGGTTGTAATGTGTAGATCTATCCGGCCTCTGGTTCTACTCTGTGTAAATGTGGTGTCATAGGACACGTGACCCCAGCACTCAAAGAACACCTCTACCGGGCTGCAGCTTTTGATCTACCCCCCCCCCCCATTAATGCCCTCCAACAAACAATCACCAGTTATTAGCTTCAATCTGAACCTGAAACTAGTTATGCTTCGTGTATGCTATTTTTTCGTGCTAACAATTCTCGGGGACATCCGCTTACTTACTGCACCAATCACACGATGAAACATTTATCTCATCAACTTTCAATATTGCTGAAGAAAGACGGAAAGTATCAATTTTAAAGTTACATAAAATGTAGTAATTGATATAGTAACGAATTCTGAAAAGAATCTTATGATTATACTAAAAATCAGTATTACAGATTAACATTGTAGAATTACAATGTATAATTATATGATATTTTTATGACACACAAAAAATTCATGTAACTGATAACCCTATACTTATTTGAATACATTATACATACGGATAATTACAAACAGTACGTTGAACTGCTAAAACATAATGTATACCAAAGCTAGATGATTTTTAGTAGAATCGATACTTATGTCTGCTACTGAAAGCTACTTTGATTACTTTGACGAAAAACAAAAAACAACGAATATTTCATTCTTACCAACATGGAAATACAAACTGGACCAGAAAGTATCCATTCATAGTGACTGTCTTCAATCCAACAACTGCAATAAATGCGCAATTATTTTTTTTGTGTATGAACTAATTTGATGTTTCTCATAGTGATAAAAATCGACAAATTTAATTCTTCTAGCATAGACTATAAATTTTGACCAGGAGACGCATAGAAAGTGATTAGATGAAAATTAGGTGTATTTTACTTTTATGTATACCAAGAAAAAAAATCACGTACTTAAGTTACTACAAAATATTTTAAAGAAGTTATTTGAATGAAAAGACCAAGAAAGACATATCAGTCCGTGACTGAGCCCATTGATTAATCCGGGAAGTGAAACAATGCGTGGTTGTTATGTTATTTAAATACATAGTTTTAAGTAAGAATGGCTTCAGAGAAATGTATTCTTATCAACTTGATTCAAAATGAAATCAAACTTGATATAAAAACGAAATCTTTGTCTCTCCCGATATATAATAACAAAATTAGGTATATTTCTCGTTTACAGTGTAAATATTTATCAGCTTAAATACGGTAAAGAACTGTTGTATTATAAACTGTCATTTCTTAAGTGTGATTTTTATACACCCAGATAAACACAAAGCCTTAAAAACTGCCTTACAGCACGTAGATCTAAGTTAATTCTTCTAAACAATACTAACGCTGATCATTTACAAAAAAAAAAAAAAACGTAACGAAAATATTTTCTGATATGAATTCGAGATAATCTGATGTTCTAATATTGGTATTTGTAACCTTAACAGCACCATATGCACATATTGACTAAACAGCCAGGACAGAGATTAGTATGTGTGCAAAAGAACCAAAAATTCAAATTCAAGAATGCTAAATGTTAAAAAACACCCAAAATACTTTGAAAACATAAGAAAATAACAAAAAATCACCACAAATACCTCATAATCGTTAAAAAACATCGAAAATCTTAATCATTAAATTTTTGTTGTTACCCAGCCCTCCAAGTTTCAGATTTTGCTTCCCCACTTAAGGGTATGAGGTTTCAACCCCATATTACCACCATAGTGTTTGTGCTCCACTTGGAAGGACATTATTTTCGAAAATTTAAGGCGTCAACTTCAAATAAAGCACGACCAAAAATCATCAAAAAAGTAAATTATGTCGAAAAAATGCTCAAATTCTAGGAATTAAACTAAAATAACCCTATCGACAAAATAACTATAATTTATATTTATCTCTTTTTAATTGTTTTACAAATGGCTTATTGGAAATATTCTTTTTTAAAGACAGTATTAAAGGATATTCCAGCATAACTATGAATTGTAATTTTTTGGTTTCATCATGTTTGTTTTTAATAAACTCTAAAAATATTTTAGAATATTTCGATATACTTTTTCCTTCGCTATATTCTCTATATAGACATAATTAATCTTTGTCTTTAATATTCAGATAGTTGATATCTAGTTTTTTATAATTCCGAATGTTATGTTTTTTCTCTTAAAAAAAAAAAATTCAATTCTAAATCATTAGGCTTTGGAATAAATTATTGTTAATTTGAGTAAAACCATTAGTAAATGCAAGACAATAATTCCTTAACGAAAGCATTATCTACACTTAAAAATGGTTATTTAGAAATACAAGAATTATGAAATTATTAATATACTAGGCTGTGGATATCATCAATAGAAGAGGAAATTGTAGCAGTCAATCGTCCAAAAGATAGCGCCATCTATACTTACAAATCTAACTTGAAATCTCAAATTTAATTATATGAGTATTTTGATTACTTTCACAGTCTTTCACTCCGTTACAAACAAAGGTAAGATCTTGTATTTCATTCATTACCTTAATATTTTTCTCAGTTAAATGTTCATTAAATCAATCAGGTATAAGTATTTGGAATTCGGTTGTAGTATTGAAAGCATCTTCTAATGCTTTCAATTCTCTTTTCTTTTCTTGAACTTCTTTTAGAGGAATAGCTTGAGATTCCATTTTCGATTTACTGTTTTGTGAAAATCTAATATTTATTCCTCGTATCTTAATTTACTTAAAACTTGTATTTCTTTCTCATTTCTTTGCTTAAATTTGCTGTTTGTTTTAATAAACGTACTTACTTTTTATCTTCTTCATCGATCATTTACTTACGATTAACATATAGTTGAAAGTATCTAACTTATAGTTTAATTTATAGCATAGCATAACAATAAAGGGCAGAAAAGGATTTTTTGGTCCATATAGGCTATTTTATCTACTAAATTAAACTAAAGCTTGAAAAAGAAATATCAAAGACAGCTCTTATTATTTAAGTATTTATTTAGCTTTCCCTTAAATTAACTGCATCAACCACATCCAAAGACAATCCATTCCAGAAGCTAACCTCCTTGTTAGAAAAATATATCTGTATAAGCTAGCTGAAGATAATTTCTTCTCTGCAAAAATTTATATTTATGTTTCCTAGTCTTATCATTCGCACTAGTAAATATAAACATTATATATACCCTTCACAATCTTAAACACTACAATAAGACCCCTCTAACTCTTTTTTTTTTTCAAGAGAAAACAAGTTCAGATATCTTAACCTATCCTCACATGATAACCTTTCCATCTCAGGTAGTTGAAAGTATGTAACTTATAGTTAAAAGTATATAGTTTATAGTTGAACTTACAGTTAAAAGCATATAACTTATAGTTAAAAGTATATGGCTTATAGTTGAGCTTAGAGTTAAAAGTATTGAACTTATAGTTGAACTTAAATACCGAATTTCTGACAATGTCTCTGAGCCCCCTTATATTAAGGGACCCTATTTTAAGGCCCTCTAATACGTTTTAACCTTTACTATCAATATTGTATTATCTTAGGATTTTATTGATCAACGGATCAAAGTAAAACGTTTTATATCCATCATGACATTCTATAGGTTTTAACTTCTCGTAATATACAATAAACTTTTCCAGTATTGTTTCGTTTTTATTGGATTTACTTTATTTTATAGAATATTCAATTTGTAAATAGTCACAAGTTTTTTATGCAAAAATGAATAATTCATATGCTTACCTTTGCAGAAGATAAAAAAACTGATGAAACATGTCTCTTACTGATTGGATTTTTATTAAGTTATTAAAGTAGTTCATTCCATATTTTACTTTAGAATAAGGTTTCTTGTTTATGCTATAACAATGATAACATATGTTATAGAAAGCTGATATTGTTGTACATATACCAAAAAAATCCTGTGTCTTCACTTCTTTTATGTACTCTTTAATTTTATATGCTGCCTCAGCATTTTCAATTGTTCTATTTGTTTAAAAAAGTTGTTCAAAATAATCAAATGTATTATTTTTGGTATCTGATAGTCCTTCCATTTATTTATTAAAAATTGAAAAGAAGCAAAAAGTGTATTCTTTGTAAAATTGAAAACCCCTCAATAAATTTAATAAAATTAATATGATTAAATATTGTCTTAGATTTTGGTGCAAATGTGTTAGTGGTTATCAGAAAACTAAAAATGAAAAAGTACAATGTGAATTGGTGAGCAAATTGTTAAAACGCATTTCGAAAAGTAGAGGGAAACCTCCATTCATAGAAAGAGATTGAATAAATTTAAAAAGTGTTCTAAATGTAAGAAAGAGAAATCGCCTGATTATATTCATAAAAAATGAAAATAATGGTGGTTTTAATTTTGTATGTAATTATGATAAAACCAAAACTAAAATATGTAAAAAAATGGAATGTGAAAGTGCAATGAAAATTGTTAAATTATTGCATGAAGAACACAAAATACGTTATGCACTACAAAAGGAATGCAGCAAAAAATAGGTCTATATTAATAAATTTATTACTAATAAATAGAGCGAGTACTTTTATTTAAAACTTTAGAATTGTTGAAAGAGTTCGTTAGGCAAAGAAGATATAGTTCTTATTCTAAACTTAGAAAAGATGATTTATAAAGTTTCATATCGATGAGATTCAAAGAGAAATATTTTCTAGAGATTAAGATTTTAATAGAAAAACTATTTGTTAAACCAAAGAAAGCTATAGAAAGACAAATAAAATGTAATGCAAGTAGAAAATATTACAAACCGTCTTATAAGAAAAACTCATGTTGAAAATAAAGAGTATAAGAAAGCATTAAATAAAAATTAAACTATTCAAGAAATAAAGACAATCTATAAAGGTCGTTTGAAAATTTAATCAATAAGTAATATTAATATTTATATCGATGCACAGAAGTGTTGTTTAATATAGAAAATATTGTTCTTCATAAAACTGATGAGTTAAGATGCAAAAATAATTTTTAAATTAATGTTAAATTACATTATGTTTATCGTAATCAAGAATAATTTTTATTCAAAACTAAAAATGAATAATTCTGAGGTTGTGTAATTTGGAAGATTTTTATGCAGATGCTGTTATCAAAGTTTTTTGAGAAATGAATAAGTTTGAAGCAAGAGATTCTTAATGGGTCTTAGAAATCTTAGACAATTTAAGACTTCGAATCAATAAATATTATCCATTAAGAGGTTCATCACACATCGAATTACCTAAAAAGATACAAGATAAAAAGCTGTGTTAAATATTAAAAATTAATGTCAAGAATGTTTCATGTATTATGTATCAGAATACTTGTATCCATTAGATAGAAAAAAATCCCATTTTAGAACGAATTATTAATTATAATAAACCAGAACAACTGAAAGATCAAAGAAGCACTTAAAAGAATTTATTCCCTTGTTGTAGTAAATGACATTTCAAAATTTGAAAAAAAATTGAATATTTCATTAAATATATACAGTTATGAAAAATAACGTATTATTGATCCTTAAATATATTTAAGTATATTTAAAAATAAACTAGAGTGGCGAGTTAATATCTTATATATATATAATTGGTAAAATTAATGCACAATGTTGTCTTATCAAAGACTTATCTCGATTAATTAAAAGACAAAAGCATTAATGAAAAATATGTATATATATATATATATATATTACTTTTATTCAGAATTCAGATTGAACTCGGAACGCTGACCTCTGGAAAGTATTCAAATGCTTCGATAACTCAAATTAGGCCACGTTTCTTCTAATTTTCTGAATTTTAAGTTACAAATTTAAAAACTGATAAAATCATGTGCTATGTTGGTTATGTCAAATAAATTACTCATGAAACTGAAGTAGCCATAATAAATAAGATAAACAATAGCTAGACATGAAAAATAATAACATATAGTCTGTAATATAAAATGTCGGTATAGCAGTTTTTAAGTCACAGTTTTATGACTTTGGTTACTTTTCTTTTCAAAGATCAATTCTTTATGGAAGCAACTAGTGTAACATACTGAAAATTAAGATTTGTTATATCTATAGCATTATGACTATATATTTCATTGAAATTAGTCAGATAAAAGCTTTTGATTACTGTGTTTCTTAATCTTTAAAGCCAATCTTTGTTAAATTTCTAAGTGGCTAAAATGCTAATTTTTTTTACCATGCTTACAATTTGTTTAACACTTTTAAGGCCCTTTACTTGCAATGTTATATTTAAATAGTGGAATTAATGATGGGAGGTTGAAACGTGCAATTCCATTACTTACGACTCAGGTCATTGTGAAGTGATTTAATAGTTTTTAATTTATTCATAAACATTGAATACTGATATTCAAGAAATCTTAAGATACTCTGTCTTGTAATTAAGGAGTATAATATACTTTAAGGAGGACTGTATAAATATTGAACAGGTCTACTAGAGTACTTTGTTGGTAACTGTTTCTATTGGTGAAGAGTTTTTATCTTTATGTACATTTAATAATTGTAAAACGCTTGGACTGAAACATAAGTTACGGTCATTAGCTCCTGTAGAGTAAAAATAAGTTACAATTTAAAATGATCTAAAATAGAATAGTTTACTCTGATATGCAAAATGTCTAAAGATGTATCTTCAAATTTAAACAAAAAGTTAAAGTTTAAATAAAATAGTTGTCTACTATATATATTAAATAAAATAAAATAATTACTAACTCTTTCCAAAAATTATAAGTATCTTTTGCGTTTTAAACAAAAAAATAACAACACTTTTAGAAATTAAAATAATAATTATGATGAAAAAAATACGACCACATCGGTTGTTAATAATGAAAAAAGAACTTTAATTCTGGAGTATTCTGGTAACGAAAACCGGTTTTTAGCGTTGTAAGTCCGCAGACATACTGCTCTGCCACTGGGGGCACAATTACATTAACTAATATATTTAAATATAGAATCTTGATATAGATAATGATGAATGAAAATACGAGTATCCTAATGTAATAAAAAATGGGATGCTTTGATATTAGCTACGAATTAAATAAACATTTTAAATATTATTTTACAGGAATTCATAAAAGATAAATACTGGCTATAATAAAATGCTCCAACAACATAAAATTAGAAACACTGTTTACTGAAACATAGTACTTCTTCGATCGTCTAGTTGTGTTTCAGAATCACAAGTAAAGAACTCTATTTTATAAGTATGCGAGATCACTGACGTTTACTTACAAATTAGTGTCACGAGATTGATAGCTTCTTACTGCTGTGTATACGATGATCAGGATCATGGGAGTACCTGCGGATGTGAGAAAATACATATTATGAAAAATAAAACTTATTCCTTCATATTTACACATACGCATAGATGAATAATATTCCATTGTATGTATTTTGCACAAATGCTTGTTAAATAAAACTAATATAGGAAGCTACTATGAAAATTTCTTGATTATATTTAATTTTTTTAGTTCGGTAAGAAAAAAATGAAGCATTCTTTCATTTTGGAGTTAGATGTTTAATGACAATGTATTATATATTAAAACAAAGCCTGTGCCTATATGGTGAAAGACCCCGAAAATTATAAACAATAACTAAGCTTTTCTATTACACCTAAAACTAACTTATTAGACCTCATTATTTACAATTTAATTTCATACAAAGAGCATAAAATAATAGCTTTATTACTCAAGATTTAAAGGGATGAAATAAAGTTTGAGCATCATATAATTTGAATGAAATATTTGTCAATACTCTCAGAAGAGAACTACGTTGTTTGAACAGTTAAAACGAAATCACTGCTTTTGGTAATGCTTTTAACCATAAAAAATAAAATCTGTTTTTAGAATCTTTTAGGAGGTTGGGCTTTTAGACAAAATATTTATATTTTGAGCACTGGAAACAAGAACATTCCACTTTTATTTTAGAAATTCACACACACACACACAAACTAAATCAAATAAAAGTTTGAAGCCTAATTACTCAGAAAGATTTTTTTTTCAAGAAACCGACTGGAATGTCTTAGACTCATTTATTAGAGAATCTAGAGTCACATAACCAGCTTTTGTTTTATACCTAAAACTGGAGAAAGTAAATCATTAAAATTCCAATACATTTTTGCTCAAATAAAATAACAAGTATGGTTTAATCTGAAAACTTCTCTAGTCATGTCATCAACGAACAATCAGAATTAAAGAAACAACAATACAGCAAGATGCAAAACGATCTTTTCTCAGACTATCGTAAAAGTGTTCCGAAATAGATCCAAAGCAGATACGAACATTTGATCCATTGCAAAACAAATGTGGTAGCAAACGCATTTCGGAATTATAAAAACAAAATTTGGATAAAAGACTAGCTTATCAACTTCGATATTTATCGAACCTTTAAATGTATTTTGATCGTAGATCTTTTGAAATTTATATAGTATCCACATAATTGTGACTTACAAAACGAATTATAAAAGAAACATATACTAAACATCAATTAAAAACTTAGCGGCTTTGTGCATAACGTAATGATTGTTATTATTTACATAAAATTAGCAAATTTTACTTCAAATTTGTAATTGTAAGCTCGAATAACTCTTTAAACTCTTAAAGGAGATCATTAAATACGACTGGTGGTTTTGATTAGCGAAAAATAAGTTAAACTAGAAAAATCGTGTTACCTTACCCCATCCAAGAACGTAGAACCATGTCATGATTTTCTTCTCGGCAACAAAAGCTACAACCAGTAAAGTATGCAAGTAGAGACCTTCACAAAACATCCACAAGTAATTGCAGACAAGAAAGTATCGTACTATAACGTGAAGTACTTGGCAAGCAGGCTAAACACACACAGTAAAACGTATCACAAGTGATAACAATTGACTGTATGTATAGTCAATGAAATGATATTTCACATCTTTTAAAAGTTATACATTACCAATTACAAATACAAAACATTAGTCATAACATGTTCTGTTATTTTTACTTAATAGTCTAGAATGTTCTGGGATCCTTAAGTGGTTGTAAATAATTAAGGATTTTTTTTGAGGAGTGAAAGCTATATCATAAACTTTTCGCCAAAATGTTTTTTTGCAATTTTCTAAGAAATGATAAGAAAGACTATACTAATAAACTTATTTTGAGATGATGTTAGTGGGGTTAATTCAGAGCATCTTCTTTGTAGAAGTTTTCGTTCATTTTCTTTAAACAACTACAGGATAATTACATCTGTTTTCACTACTGCTTTTAAGTACATCTCTCCCTTGTTTTAATCATTTATTTCACAACATATAGGAATAACAAACCAAGTACAGGCGTAAAATACAGTTTCAGAAATAAACGTTAAAAGCCTATCAATGGGGTGTCCTTTATTTTTAACTATTTCATAGTTAAAATCAAACTTCTAGGGTACAGGAGATTAGTAGATTTTGATTTTATAGCTAATATTAAATCTGTATGGTACAGAATATTTTTTCAGCTATAATAATACGATACCATCTGCGGATCCAACCGATTGTGTAGAACTTGTAACTATTGACTTTGTTGGCTAGAGGGTTCCTAATAGAAATACTTTATAAAACTATTTTTAATTTACTTTACAGAACATTTACTTTGTAAATGATAATACATCTGTTACATTTTACTTAGATAAAATATCTTCCACATACAAATTTTATCTTTCGTGACAATTTCAACACGGTGATTTATTATCTTATTACCATTCAACAGTTAGTAGTGATTTTTACTTCTTGTAATATGTATAGTAGTGAGTATCCAAAGTAACTCCAAAAATATGAAATACATATTTTCGTAAAGAAAGCAAAGAACCAGACTTTAAAGGTCGCAATTTGCCGATAAAGACTAACATACTCCATTTTCCAACACCACCTGTGGTCGCTGAACAACTTCAATATACCAAATTATCCACATAATGTTGTTGACAACAAAAGATATGAAAAGATTCTTATGGATGGTAACTCTGGTGCAGCGAAGAGATCTAAATTACGAGATTAGAATAATTATTTTACATACAAAAAATTCTTTGATGTATTTGAAACATATCAAATGAAGTTAAATACTTCGTAAAAATGATTATTCAATTATAATGGAAAACTTTCAGCATGATTTTAGAACATATGCTTGTTTTATTTGTAAATTCACTTTAAAGAACATACACTATTTCTTTTGAAAATTATTTAAAATGTTATGCTTAACAAAACTATATTTACTTTATATAGAAATTACTCCGTAAATAGTAGAACATGTTACACTTTAACCGTTTTATCATCAGTAGATTTAAACTGTACAAATGGTGCAATAACAGTTTGAAAAACATATTTCTTGCCTAAATCACATTTAACATATTTCTTGCCTATATTACATTTAACATATTTCTTGCCTGTATTACATTTAATACATTTCTTGCCTATATTACATTTAACATATTTCTTGCCTAAATTACATTTAACATATTTCTTGCCAATATTACATTTAACATATTTCTTACCTAAATTACATTTAACACTGCAGTTTAAAACTGCAGTTGCAGAGTGTTTTCCAAATTAGTAGTGGGTCATTAAAATCATCACATTTTGAAAATTTCAGCTATAATTTGTTTCATGATTAGAAAACATGTATCCTATTTATGTTCTAGTGTAGAACTCATAAGATAATCAAACTTCAAACAAAAAGTACTAAGTTAAATAAATTATAAAGTTTGCATTTCATAACAAAATCCTGTAGAAGTAGAGCTCAGAGTCGGCACTCACTTATTGCAAAGCCACTACATATTATGTCAGCATACAAGATTTGATCTGTGGATGGTGTACAGCACTTAGAAATGTAGATCATATACACCATGATGTATGTAAAACATATATATATTCGTCACATATATCACGTGTCTTCTTCAAACAGAATACATTTAGAGAAAACATTTTATGGTTACAATGTTGAGTAATTTTCATGTGTAACTGACATACTTGAAATAAAAAAAGATGATCAAAGACAGTATCAAAGCCACTACGGAAACAGAATAACCACCAATATACAAGTTATTTATACGTTGACGAAACTGTAAGAAAAAAAGAGACAAAATATTTAATTAGTCTACTGTTCATTCCATGAAGAACTTAATTGTGTTTTTCACAACTTTTATAATAAGTATATAGAACGTTTTGGGCGTTTAAAACCAGTGATCTTAATTTCCATATTATTGTTTTATTCTCGCTACCAAGCTTTTATTCGAAGATTTCTAAGACACTTAATATCTTTATTTAACGTTAATATGAAGCAGCAAAAATTTCCTTACTAACACTTTCTGTTTACAATATTAACCCCATTGATTGTATGTTTATCTTTTCTTACAAAACACAGAAACACGTTTTGCTTCTTCAGAGCCACAACCTATATCTTTCTCATAAAATTTTTATATAAATAACTTATGTTCCACACGCAAGATTTATCTTTCGTGAAAATTTCAAAACGATGAATTATTATTTAATTGTGACTCAATAGTTAGTAGTAGTTTTGACTCTTTATAACTTATCCAGAAGTACGGAATACATATCTTCATAAAGAAAGTAAACTTTAGAAGCGTTTTCAGAATACTGAACGACAAATAAGCTAATTGTTACTTTTCAGTAAATCGTATTTCTCTAAGACTGCTCTCCAACTGACGCACATTGTACTTGGAATGTCATAGAAAATCGTTATATGTTTTTTGTTAGGAAAACTTGTACCAAACGTCTAACTTACCCATGAAAATAAAGGAAACAGGAAAGTAAACGTAACTGGATATTGTACTAAAACATGTCAGAGGATCAACTTTGATAGATTATTTCATATTATACCAAACGTGTCATGAGTATATTAATGTTTGCGTTAACTGTCTTATAATTGCATTAAGCTAGTCATGTCAGTTTATTTAGAGAAAATATCTTAACTCAGAGCTAAAGAAATAAAAGTATATCACTTGAATAACTGCATTTTTATAACTTCGAAACTTAAACATACCAGTAATGAAACATATAAGTTTCTAGAAATCCATCCACTCTCTAAAAAACAAGGTTATTATTTAGATCTATTATTTTGTACGATAAACATTAAAAGCACAAAACATGAATAATGATATGGAGTATATATGCAAAAATATTTTATCATTTTTATTTCGTTTTATAACGGTAAAAAATAAAAAATAAAAACAAACCTTCAAATCTTCTCTGTCCACACAGGTGGTGTAGTTAGACCAAGTTTTATTGGTAACAGGGTGTTGAAACCAGCTGCCGTCTTTTTGGCAAAACTTATAAGCGAGGCCTACAAATGACAAAAGGTTAATGCATTTTGTTTGCAAAGAAAATCATCCCTATCTATACTGATGCCTATTTATGCAAACCAAGCCTTAATTACAGACAGTGCAAGTCTTCCCTATTTGAGATCTGGTTCCTGTTCATCGATTACACTAATCATTACAATTCTCGTTTTTCATCGAATGAGTAACTTTGTATGAGTTACACTGACCACTTTAAGGTTTTTGTAAATTACGGTCAACTATAGTAATCTAATAAAACTGTTTTAAAATTGAAATTTTACACTTTCGCTTAATACGTAAACAACCTGTAAAATTCTAAATTACATACAAAATAGGAAAAACGAGCTACAATCAAAGTGACACTAAAACAGAATCAGAAACGATTTACAGTTCCAAGGTAAAAAAAATATAAAGCAGTAGCATAAATTATGATGCAGATAATAAATATACATATACAATCCTTACACAGTGAAGATCAGTATAAATAAAGGAATAGAATTAATAGTTAACACTTACTAAATAACTATAAGCCGATCAATTAAAATTCTCCATTTAAACTGTAAAAACCTAAAAAAAGTTTATGATAATATAAAAATAACTTTCTTAGACTTCCACCTATTTTATAATACATAGAATTTCCTTTTTGCCTCTATCTAATTAAACAAAAGTACGCATATAACCCGAAATAGTGTCTTCCATTTTATAATGATATTAAAACAATTATTAAAATCCATTACAGAGAGATGAACTTATTAAACATAAGTGGTTTGAATAAATAAATATAATCGCAATGGAAAACTTATTTCAAAGCCAACACAGAAATCATTGTTAAAATAAAGAAACAAATTTCTTTTAGTGTTCATTAATGTCATCTTTAAATTAAACACGTTACGGTAAAATATTAATGAACTCCATTTATATTAAAAAACAAGAAATATACTGTGTCATACATTATACAGTTTAAGATTAGAGAAAAAACATTGTCAGTTTGAATGGCAATACGATGAGAATACAGAAATACCCGGAAGTTTTTAGAAGAGGATCGACACAGTAACAGAAAAGCACCAGAAGGTTTCATGTAATTTATCAAATTTCTAAATATATAAACAACTGTACAAGACATTTCATTCTTTTTATTGATGAAATGAGGATTCAATCAAACAGTTATACAAATTATAATCAAGATAATTAGAATATAGAATAGATGCTTAACACTGGATCCGAGCGTAACCTGTTTGTTAGCGTATTGAACTGGGAATATAAGAATTTCGGGTTCGATCTTTAGTGCTACCCAGCACTCTTCTTACTTTCAGCTGTGGGTGCGTTATATTAGTCACAGTCAATCTCTCTCTTTGGTGTAAGTAGTTACTTCAGGGTAGAGAGGGGTTGAGAAGGGTGCTGACGACCAACTGGTTCCCCTCTGTTCCACAAATCAAAATTAGGGACGATTGTGTTTGGATCACAGAGGTCTTTTACCTGTCTGTTCAGCCCTTTGTGTGCATAAGATGTCGTTCAGGTGAAAAAACAAACATGTTTATACTGTGTTTTAATAAATACTTATTATCATTATTTTACTGTTAACAGTTTTAATTCAATTAATAGGATTCGTTTATAAAAATACTTCCAAAAATTTAATATTTAAGATGGTAAGTGCTATTTGACCTGTTTTCTTTTTCAGTAATTAGATAGACCTACCTCCCCAGTGACAGGAAACGTTTAAGTTAATCTATAAATTTAAATTATTTCATGGACTTTAAAAAAGTTAATTGTGTTGCACTCTTGTTCTCTCTCAGGGCCAAAGCTCTGAGCTACTTATACCGCCTACCACGAAAAGTAATTCTTGAGCATTTCAGTCATGCTAAGAGCCGCTCAACAATAACATACGGTAAATCTACACTTTTATTATTTAAGTTACATCACATTCTGAAATGTGAATGATAATGTGATTAATTCCTAACAACTTTGCGTGGAATATCCTGCTTTATAAATAAAATATGGCATCAACATTATTCTTGCCTGTTCTTCCGTCATTTCAAAAGTGCTTTGTCTGCGTGCGCAGCTTTTCAAACGTAGCGCGAGAAACGGCTGCCAAAAAAAGAAGACAGACGGTTCGCAATAGATATATAAGATTTTAAAGTTTAAATTTAATAAATATGTGGGAACATAGAATGGGTGGATAATTAAATACCTCAACGTAAACAAAACACCATAAGAACCGTTTAAAGTATGGCTATCATTATGATGTAACTCTTAATTTTTATTGAAGGAAAAAAATATTCGTGTAGCGAGTCTGTTAAATGATCTACAGCTAAAGGACATAACACTACGATAAAAGAAGCATTAATATTCTCCAAGAAAGTGTTTAAACTCACAAAGGCAAAACAAAGGCTAAAGCTACGTCAAAGAACATGCTGACCAAAAATAACCATAACGAGGAAGCAGAGAATACCTCATTGTCCCGTTGATTAGATAACAAAAAGGATTTGAAAATGATAAATGCTCACAACTGAAAAGTTTACAAAATTCCAGCCACACCTCAAACTGAGTCCGATTAACGATGAGAGAAGGTAACTTTGAAGGGCATCACAAAACACTGTAAAGTGTATCCGATTGACGATGGGGAAGGTAACTTTGAAGGACATCACAAAACATTGTAAAGTGTATCCGATTGACGAAGGGGAAGGTAATTTGGAAGGACATTGTAAAGTGTATCCGATTGACGATGGGGAAGGTAACTTTGAAGGGCATCACAAAACATTGTAAAGTGTATCCGACTGACGATAGGGAAGGTAACTTTGAAGGACATCACAAAACATTATAAAATGTATCCGATTGACGATGGGGAAGGTAACTTTGAAGGACATCACAAAACATTGTAAAGTGTATCCGTTTGACGATGGGGAAGGTAATTTGGAAGGACATTGTAAAGTGTATCCGACTGACGATGGGGAAGGTAACTTTGAAGGGCATCACAAAACATTGTAAAGTGTATCCGACTGACGATGGGGAAGGTAACTTTGAAGGACATCACCAAACATTGTAAAATGTATCCGATTGACGATGGGGAAGGTAACTTTGAAGGACATCACCAAACATTGTAAAATGTATCCGATTGACGATGGGGAAGGTAACTTTGAAGGACATCACCAAA